TTCTGTGTCCACTGTCCAAGTTGGTCTCAACCTGAGCTTGAGCCTTGATCTTAACCAGCCTTAGTGGTCTGCTTTGCTGGGTTCTATAAATATTTGCTGAATGATTTAAGATAGTACTTTCATTGATGTACTTTTAAAAACAGTATAGGAAATGCCGTCATGGTTATTAGTAATTATTACTGGGTTGGGCTGGAGGGAATTAAACAACAAATACTCTCAGCAAATTGATCTGAGAGTATTTGAGACATTGCTGAGAGTATTTCAATTTCTGCGATATTTTTGATTGTCATAACTGGAGGGGCTGCTACTGGCATCTGATAGGTAGAATTCGGGGGTGCTGTGAAATACTCTATATACATAGGACTTCTACAAAAGATAAATATTATACCCTAAATGTCAGTATTCCTGAGGTTGAGAAACCCTGCCTTATCTAAATGACATTCCGCTCGTATCATATTGTGATAAGGTTTCACAGAATGTTCTCTCTCATTATAAACCTACATAATAATTGATAATCACATTTATGTAATTAGATTGTAGTTAAATAGTATGAGTGATAGTGATTTACATAAAGAAATGAAAGTTATATCAGTGTTAAATTAGTCCTGTTACACAAGTGGTTGTTTTTATTTTATGTTAAAAGTATGTCTTCATGATTATAAAATTAATTTTTCAGTAATGGCAGATATGTTATATTTAAATAATGTCAGTTTGGGTTTCTAAGTCTTTAAAACATTATATATTAACCGATTCTGTTGGAAAATTTTCTGGGAAAAGTAACCTCTTCACACATGTGTTCTAAAGGAAGCTGAACGGATGCTTCAAGACGATGATGATACTGTGCACCTTCCATTTGAAGGAGGAAGTCTCTTGCAAATTCCAGTTAAGGCCCTAAAGTATAGGTGAGATATAACTTTATGCTCTAAAACTTTTATATACATGTCAAGTGTATTAATAAGCTATACAATGCTTCTTTAAAATGATTTCTATTTTATAAAAGATGATAAAATCTGCATATGGTGTATCAACTAAAGGAGGGTGTCACACAATTTGAAAAGGAAGTCCCTTGCTCCTTTCCCACCCAAGCTGGACTTGGACCAGAGCCTTAAACTAACTTCCATGCCAAGCCAATAAAATTGATTTGTCTTCTATCACTCCATCTGTCTTAGTGAAGTTTAAAATCAGTACATGAGTCTGAGAATATTTCCATTTTCCCAGTAGTGTAGCTTTTTCCTTTGTGCCCTTCATTAGGGCTGTGGTCAGTGGCTGCTGGAAAATAAAAGTTTTCAGTAATCTTTGTCAGTATCCATTCAGATACCAGTAATTCATTTTCTGATAGCCTTCCAATATATAACTATGTTTAGAGGCCCTAGAAGTCTCTTACTTTTCAAAGATGTGATTTGATTATTGGCAGTGAGGGTTCATATGATGCAAGAATTAATAAATATGTATAATTCATTGTGTGTGATTTTGGTGATTTATATTTAAATGTAAGAACTAAAGATACAGAGGTTGGGAAATGCAGACTTCTGTAGTATTAAAAGATTAACCTATATTCGTGTACACACCTGATTTCTATTTCTACACTTCTATTCCATTTCCGATTAGCTAGAGAAATCAGTCTTAGAGGCCGGGTGCGGTGGCTCATGCTTGTAATCCCAGCACTTTGGGAGGCTGAGGCAGGTGGATCACCTGAGGTCAGGAGTTCAAGACCAGCCTGGCCAACATGGGGAAACCCCGTCTCTACTAAAAATAGAAAAATTAGCTGGGTGTGGTGGTGCCTGTAATCCCAGCTACGAAGGAGGGTGAGGCAGGAGAATTGCTTGAACCCATGAGGCAGAGATTGCAGTGAGCCAAGATCATGCCAGTGCACTCCAACCTAGGCAACAGAGCAAGACTCAGTCTCAAAATAATATTAATAACAGCCTATATTTGTGTACACACCTGATTTCTATATTTTTCTTTTTTTTTTTTTTTTTTTTTTTGAGACGAAGTCTCGTTCTCGTCCCCCAGGCTGGAGTGGAATGGTGTGATCTTGGCTCACTGCAACTTCCGCCTCCTCGGTTCTCTTGAGTAGTTGGGATTACAGGCGCCTGCCACTACGCCCTGCTAATTTTTGTAATTATAGTAGAGACGGGGTTTTACCATGTTGGCCATGATGGTCTCGAACTCCTGACCTCAGGTGATCCGCCCGCCTTGGCCTCCCAGATGCTGGGATTACAGGCGTGAACCACAGCTCCTGGCCCTCCTGTTTCTACACATCTATTCCATTTCTGATTAGCTAGCGAAATCAGTCTTAGAAAATGTACAGGTTTCTTCCCTGATCAGTTGATAGAAAATGTTTATTGGTATTTAATTAACTTCCTTCCATTTCTTTTTTTTATTTTTTAGCTATTTATAGCTTTTACAGGAGTGACATTTGACTTGTACATGTTGATTAGTTGTGATGAATGAATTCAACTGATTTTCCTCTATACATTTTGCTATTTATTTTCACTATTGTAATTATTCTCTTGAAATTTTTGTATACTTTAAATGCCAAGCATAGAGGCATTTAATATGGATATTTAATATATCCAGCCACAGTGATCTGCTTTGATGGGTTCTAGAAATATTTGTTAAATGATTTAATATGTTAACTTCATTGATGTACTTCTAAAAAGAGTATAGGAACTGCCATGATGGTTGTTAGTAATTATCACCAACTTGCTGAGAGTATTTGCGCTTAATTTCTGTACCCTACTTTATCACTTTTTCAGTGTAATTATATATGAACCTTGATAAATTTAAGTGGAGTCTATAGTCTGATAAAGAAAAAGATATCTGTAGTTTTCCTTTTGTCTTTTAAGTGGTGACATGAGCCATGATTAATATGGCTATGTTTAAAATTTTTAACATCAGGAATGCCAGGAAATGGCTAATGTGCTTATTTGCCAGAATTTTATATCTTAAATAGCTTTGGATTACTTGGGTGGAAGATCAAATGAGATGGTATATGAAAGTATTTGGAAACTGTAAAGCCCTTATAAAAGATGAAAATAATTTATATAATGCAGGCTAAGTTTTTCCCATCTAATTTCATTTTGAGGGAAAAAAAAACATGTACTTTCTTCATAGTGGAGGATATTTAGAAGCTAGAAAGTTTATCAGGAATTCCTTTCTTCACTTATATGAAGTTGGCAACCAAGTGAATAAATGTTTACTCGGGGTAGGCAGTTTCAAGTTGGATGGCTATGCCATTATAAACTTTGGTATTCAGACTTTGTGTACTTTTAAAAATCTGACGTGGCGAAGGTAAAGAAACCATTCATAGAGACTTTTCAGTGACCACCTCACATTTCTCTTCAATCTAAAATTTGTAAATAACATTCTGACTTTAAGTATGAACAGAGCTAGCACTTTCTAAATGACCGCTGTTTAGTCATTTGTAAACTAGTTGCCATCACATTGTTAATTTAACATTACCTAATTTGACATTTGTATTTGTATCTTGTTTGTCTGAATGTATTTTTTTAATCAAAGAAAAAGGACTTGCAAATGTATTTGTATTAACTTGGATACTTTCCTATTACTTGTGATGGACAACCTTGAGCCCCAAATTATTTATTTATGGGTATTATTGGATTTGAGGTCTTGAAGTAATTTTCATAGAAATACAGAAACAGAAACAGTTGTCTTACTGTAATAAATGGATAGTACTCTTTTTTTTCTTTTTTTTAATTCTTGAGATGAGTCTTGCTCTGTCACCCAGGCTGGAGTGCAGTGGTGCGATCTCGAATCACTGCAACCTCTGCTCCCAGGTTCAAGAGATTCTCCTGCCTCAGCCTCCCAAGTAGCTGGGATTACAGGCGAGTGCCACCATATCCGGCTAATTTTTGTATTTTTAGTAAAGACGGGGTTTCACCACGTTGGCCAGGCTGGTCTCGAACTCCTGACCTTGTGATCCGCCCGCCTCAGCCTCCCAAAGTGCTGGGATTATAGGCATGAGCCACCATGCCCGGCCTACTCTGTTCTTTTAATTTTGATGAACTTGATAAATACCACCTTTATCACACTAAATATGTGACATATTTTCAGAACTTTGTTTTCAATTTCAGAGTGTTATCTTTCCAAGCATTCTTTATAATGATTTGTAAAAGCTATGAAAAATAAGATTTTAAAAATCATAATCTTAAGTTTTCCTTATATACTTTGGGTATTTATTTGATAAGATTAAATGTGTGCCAATTATAAATGTTTTCTAGTTGACTTGAGATTGCATTATTTTTTGTATGCATAAACATATTAACATAGCCTTATGTTATTTCAGTAGCATATTTTCAGCCAAGATGATAATAGGGCATCATTGCTAGAGTGCTGCCGAAGGACTACTGAAACCCCAAATTGGATTCTGAAGCGAAGTTCCATAAATAAATCTTGCTAACTTAGTTAATCTTACTCCTAGTTTTGATTAGAAAGAAAGATGTAATTCTTCATAAGGACTTTGTAACAGAACTCAAATTCTGATATCCTGCTAGACCTTTAAGTGCATGGCAAAGGTTTTCTCAATTTAGCTGATGAAAGCAGATAATAAGAATGACAATATTAATGCTTTTGCAAGTACTGAATACTAACCAAAAAGTGTATTTGTTCTTCAGTGTTGATCCCTCAGTTGTTAACATATCAGATGAAATGGCCAAAACTGCACAGTGGAAGGCACTTTCCATGAATACTGAGAATGCCAAAGTAACCAGATCTAATATGAGGTAGTTATAACTGTTTATGTGTTTTCTAACTGTAGCCAATTTTCATTTACTTATGATAGCTTCATTTCTTTCTTTCTTTCATCCATCATTTTAATGTATACTTGGAATAAGGTATAAATAATGATTATGTTTTTGTCTTTTATATAGTTACCTATTTTAAAAAAGAATTTGAGTCAGGTGCAGTGGCTCACACCTGTAATCCCAGCACTTTGGGAGACTGAAGTGGGCAGATCGTCTGAGGTCAGGATCATCTGAGGTCACTTGCAGTGATCCGAGATCGTGCCATTGCACTCCAACCTGGAGGACAAGAGTGAAACTCTGTCTCAAAAATAGTAATAATAATAATTCGAGCTATTTTATAATAAAAATAAATTTCATATAGCAGTATGGAGTGAACATAAAAAAGATCAGAAACCGTATAAAGATAACTACTAGGGATTAACTACTATAATTGAATACTATTTCAATCATGCTTTCTGATGATCTAAGAAAAGAGAAACACAAGTTGTTTCCCTTCTTGTGTTTTGGTTTAGTATGCCATTTGTTCAGGTGAGGTAAACATGTTGCTTGGAGATATTTGGAAGAAATCGAATCCATTGACGTAAAGACCATTCAGTTTTACAGTGGACCATGTATTGAAAGTATTATGTAACCTCTTACTTACATTTCTTGTTATATAACCTATTTTCTTTCTTTTGTTCTCACTTCAAGAACTAAGCCCTCAGGGATTCTGTTTGGTAATCATCAGTACTTTAATCCCTTAAGCCTCTGGAGAAATGAGTTACTGTCTTATAGGGTACTCAGTCATTCATACTCAGCAAATACTTCTTTTTATGTACAGTTTGTGCAAGATGCTATGTTGGGTGTCTGTATATTCTGCTTGGGCATCAGATGAAAACTTTTCTAGGCACTCAGTCACGTAGCTGTTTTGGTTCACTTGCTGTCTTAGCTCTGTCTTCTGACAATAAGTGATTAGCTTTTTGTCATTGTTTGACTACCCTCTTTTAGAACCTTTTTCCTACTTACTCTCTATCCTATGTTTTTCTCTTCTGTCATCTGAGTTCTGATTTCTCAGCTGGCTGTTTCCTTTCTTCTGTCTTTAACTTAAAAAGTTTTAAAGTTAAACTCTTTGTAATTTTGGATCATTCAGTACAGCCAGAATTTTCCTAAATATTCTTTTTACTATTAGTAATTGTTCACACAGTGTCAGCCCCCCCGGCCCTGTTAGTATAATTATAATAAAAAATAAAGGCCTTACAATAATAACTAATACGTTTTATGCTTTTACCTTTTGTTTGGGTTGCCTTGCACTTCAGAATCACATAGGAAGAAAGAGAATGTCTTGGCTTTGTTGTTTAACAGGAAAATGCTTGGGGAAGGGGGTCTTTTCTTCAGTTTGTCTAGAGAAGACAGCAAACCATAGTGTGTTTTTACACTTTCTCAAAACCTTTTCCAGAACTCAGATATTCATATGTTACAATTAATTAAATCCATGTACATGGAGTCACTGTGTGATACTAAGTTGAAAATATAGAATAGGTCGCCCAGGTGCAGTGGCTCAGGCCTGTAATCCCTACACTTTGGGAGGCCAAGGTGGGCGGATGATTTGAGGTCAGGAGTTCGAGACCAGCCTGACCAACATGGAGAAACCCTGTCTCTACTAAAACTACAAAAATTAGCTGGGCATGGTGGCACATGCCTGTAATCCCAACTACTTGGGAGGCTGAGGCAGGAGAATCACTTGAACCTGGGGGGCGGAGGTTGCAGTGAGCTGAGATTGTGCCATTGCATTCCATCCTGGGCAACAAGAACAAAACTCTGTCTCTCAAAAAAATATATATATATATATTTCAAATATTTGTTCTACATATATAGAATACATATCCATAAATAAAATTCATAAATAAAATTTATAAATACAGAACCAGTATGTATATAGAATATATATAATATATTGGTTTTGTATTTATGAATCAAATTTGGAGTGAGAAGTTTTATAAATTTATAACCTTGGAAATTATTTGATACCTATCTATTAACAAAGATTCATATATTAATAGATTTTTCAGTGAAATAAAAGTCTCATGCTATAGCTCTTCATATATTAAATAAAAGTAATCCAAGAGATTCTGACCATATACTGCCCTATTTTAAGGACCCCCTCTTTAGTTGTAAGAAGAACATGAATTTAAATTGCAAACAGAATTTTTAATATTTGTAATTTTTAAAAACAGAATTTTTAATATTTGCCTTTCCACTTTATTGATTTAGAAAAAGGTAAAATTATATTAGCAAGTCATAAGTTTGTAGTGTTAATAGTAATCTCAGAAGGTTTAATATACTCATTCTTAGCCATGTTTAGAATTGAATATTTATGTTTAAAAATTATTTATTTTCATTCTTTGTTTTAAATAGTCCTGATAAACCTGTGAGTGTGAAAATAAGTTTTGAAGATGAACCAAGAAAGAAATATGTGGATGCTGAAACTTCATTATAGAACTGAACCAAGAGGCATTATACATATAGATATATACATATGTAAGGTGTGCGTATCATGTCACTATATATAAGAATATTGTATGTCATGCTGTTTATGTGTGACTACTGAGTTTTTAAAAGTAGTGTCTGGAGTTTGTAATGAGCACCGTGGAGACTATGTGTATAATGAAATGCTCTCTTTGAAGTGAGGTACATGGTTCTTAACTATTCAAATATTTATTCTGTTAGAAAAAAAAAATTTCTGTTTTGCAATAGAAGGATGCGGAGAAATGCTTTCAGTCTGCTTTTCTTACATCTCTTTGTTCATCAATGGCAATTCATAAAAACCTGAAGTGATCCTTTGTTTATGTTTATAATTTTTATGTGTTTCTCGAAATTTTCACATATTACTTCACTTTTGTTAGTGCTTTATGGGAAGAACAGGGAGTCTATACCAGTGCTGTGGGAAAAGTGGAAACATTTCAGGGCTTCTCTGTGTTTCATTTCTGTAGATGTCCATCATGTTTCACTAACTGGCGTTTTCTTAGCCATAGAGATGAATGTAGAACAATGGAAACTTTAATAATGGTAGTTTTTAACTTTTATGTTTAAATTTTTTTTAATCTCAAAACCTTCATATCTGGGTATCCATTGTGACAGACAAGTACAATTGCAGGTGATTTGATAATTAAGCACCCATACCATTTATAACTTCATGAATTTAAAAAGTTATACAATGCCAGTTTGCAGCAGTTAGATTTTGAAGCCTTTGTAGAATTTTTTTTTCTGAATCCTTATACTCTTTTAAATCCTATTTTTCCCACTCTGTTCTCTGCCTTGTCTCTCTTTGTCTTAAAATGGTTTAGTTTCCATCAGGTTCAAGTTATTGACTATTCCTTATAAGTAGTGGGCGTAAATAATCAGGAGTCAGAATTCTCTCAGATGGGTCTGTGATCAGTATTACTTTATTAAGAATTACCTTTCATTTTCTCTTTATGTTATTCTTTTGTAGATTACATTTAATAGCTTGTTACCTGTGATTTTATTTTAAAATATTTATTTTGATATGATGCTTAAATATTATATAAACATTTGGAAAAGTAACAAATAGAGTAAATTGTTAATGTAAATAGTTGGTGCTCACTTGCATTTATGTTTATTATCTTAAAGCAATTGATAGATTTTACATCTTTGATATAAAGCACTGCCATATTTATATTTTAAAAGGAAATTAGACATTTTATATGTAGCTCAGATTAATGGCATTTTTATTTTGTGTATTTGTTAGTTTTTGCTTTTCTGAGCTTTTTACAGTCTAACAAATCTTGTTAGTCATCTTTTATATACTTTTAGCTCCACGTGAAATAAATAAATGTTGTTAAGCCTGTAGGACTGGATGAATGGGGTTGTGAAACTGATTTGACAAGAGAATAATTTACAAAAATCAAATGAGTATTGAGAAGCCACAGAAATATCAAAAATGGTGACATGACTATTAGGATGAAAATTTTAATGAAATTCCAATGCCCTTTAACCATATAATTAAATTATAAAAGTATACATAATTAATCTAATAAAGGATCATGAGGAATGCCAAAAGCTGAAATTTTAGCAAGTCTGGTGTTTTAAATTCATTATAAAATATTTATTAACTAAGGTAATGTCCTCCTCTAAGACCATATTGTAAGAGTCTAGTTAAAATGATGGATTCAACTTCTGCCTTGGATGAGAGGTTGGAAATGTAGCTGCTTTTCTTTAGAAAATATATAGCTGTCATCATTTGGTACTGCCTAAAAAGAGTTAGACTCTATTGGCAATTGATAGAGTATTACCCACGGTGCTTATTATTGTTTATGAGCTTCCATTGTAATGATTCCTTTTCATTTGTAGCAGCATAATTATTTCCAAAGACCCCAGTATTTGCTGCTATTTTTAAAACTCCCCTGATGTACCTGAACAAGAGGATTTCCTCACATCATTTCCTTGTGTCTGGACATCGGGGGTAACAACTGTACTTACTCTACAGGAAGAAATTTTAAAACTGAAAACTACCTGGGATCATAGTGTTTCTGTGATTTTATTTAATTTATGTATAGTAAGTATCCAGTGCCAGAAAAACCGTCACTTGCAAAATACTTTGCACTCAAAATGTTTTCACAGTGCTTCTAATTTTACTGGTTTCTGCTTTCTTTTGACTACTTGACTGACAAAATGATCTGACTACTCCGTTTAAGAGCAAAGGTAACTCATGTTTAAGTAATTAACTGCTTGTTTTAAGTGATTATATTTCTTCCACTGTTTTTGAAAAATAATCATAGATAACATTCATTGAGACAGTGACAGATATAATTTACTACATATATTGATTTTTAAATAAAGTTGCCTTAAATAAGTGTATATAAGCAGTAGTAGTTGCTGTGTACTGATTTACCTCAAGGTGCAAAATAATTAAACCTGTACATATTCCATTTACAAAATAAATTCAGCCCTGCACTTTTCTTTAGATGCCTTGATTTCCAGAATGGAGCTTAGTGCTACTGAATACCCTGGCCACAGAGCCACCTCAGGATATTCTTTTCTCCACCCTAGTTTTATTTATTTATAGATACCTGTTTACAAAGTCTGTAGTAAATCCTGATGCTGACCATCTGAAATGTACTTTTTTCTGAATGCTGTTTCAATCTAAAATAGCAGCTTTTGAGAAAACAATGACGTAAATTCCTTATGATAAAAGGATGATTCTATATATTCTTTAATGATATTAAATATGCTGAAGCAAAGCACACAGTCTTTCTAAAGTGTGTGTGTGTTTGTGTGAATGTGAATGATTCTGATCTTATATCTGTTAAACGTCGTTTTAAAAAGCTCTGGCATACCATTGTTCATATTTGCCAAGTCTTCTGTAAAGATGTCTAGGACAAAATATTTTATGTGCTAATGCATGTATTTGTAAACCAGATTTGTTTACCACTCAAAATCAACTTGTTTTCTTCATCCAAAAAAGTTTATTTCTTCCACATACTTAAATTTTCTGTGTGGGTATAATAGCTTTCTAATTTTTTTCTTTCACAAAGGCAGGTTCAAAATTCTGTTGAAAGAAAAATGCTTTCTGAAACTGAGGTATAACACCAGAGTTTGCTGTTTAAAGGATTATATGATGTACATCAGTTCTATAAATGTGCTCAGCAGTTTAAGGTGTGAATCCTGTTTTAAAGTGCTCAGATTTCAACTGTGTAAGCCATTGATATAACATTGTAATTAAAAATGTTTATATGAAATAACTTAATGTTTTAAATTTATTTATGTAGATCGCATCATTTTTATCATATGCAGTGCAAATATGTGAAATGTCTTTTGGTTTATTCCAACAATTATTTATTTTAGAAAGTAAATTTAAAGACCTTAAGGACGTTCAAAGTTTAAAATAGTGTTCAAATTGCAAAATTTGGCCATCTTAATATAAATTGGTTTCTTTTCTGACTTTTCAAAAAGTAACATTGTCAATTATAGGAAAACATAGTTGGAAATGTAATCATCCAAAGATCATTTTAAAAATGAAATTTAATTAACACATACTGACTTCAACATTTGACTTAGAGTAATTGTTAAACCCCAGGTTGTTGTTTTTTTTTTTTTTTTTAAGTCAGATTTTTTGCACACTGATTAGTTTTTGTGTTGTGGCTTTTTTTTGTTGCTTTATTATTCAAGGTTTTTTTTTTTTTTCCCCCATGGGGGAGATTGTCTTCCAATGTTTACTATGTTTAAATAAATAAAAATTGAATTTTATTGTTCATTTATATAAAATTTGATACCTTGATGTAATTTCACAGTACAGTTCCAATTTTTATGGCTTTTATAATTACAATGATATTTTCTTCTATAATAAAATCCAAAGTAAACATTTAAATTGTAGAACTGATATTTTTTCATTTATATGAAGTATAAGCCTCTACCAGGTCTATATTGTGAATGATCCTGCCTTTCAAATTTGTTTCATAATTGTTAGATGAAAACTATTTTTTCGGAGATGTTACTGAAGTTGATTGAGCAATAAAAATCTACTTAATTAGTTGTTGGCTATTGTCTTTACTTTGTATTCTGATTATTAGGAGAACCACATCTCTGTCTCAGCTTGAGATGGGATAGGAGAGGAAGGTAAATGAGTGATGTCTGTTTCTGGCCTCCTAATACTCCTAGGCTTTGGTAGGAGAGAGAAAACAGGAAACGTTGTGAAAAAAATAAAACAGTGTTTGTTTCACAACAGCGTTTGCTGGTTAAGAAATAATTGAAATTAAAGCTCTCTAAGAAAAGGCTGATCCATTTATTCCCCCTTGATTTTAGAAATCTTGCTGTGTGATGTGTAATGATTTTCATTATAATACTGAACTCTCCAGGGCTTTTCTTTCTTTCTCTCTGTTTTTTTTTTTTTTGTTTTTTTTTTTGTTTTTTTTTTTTGAGACGGGGTCTGGTTCTCTCACCCAGGCTGGAGTGCAGTGGCCCAATCTCAGCTCACTGCAAGCTCTGGCTCGGGTTCACGCCATTCTCCTCCCTCAGCCTCCCAAGTAGCCTGGGACTACAGGCATCCGCCACCACACCCGGCTAATTTTTTGTATTTTTTTTTAGTAGAGACGGGGTTTCACTGTGTTAGCCAGGATGGTCTCTTGATCTCCTGACCTCATGATCTGCCTGCCTTGGCCTCCCAAAGTGCTGGGATTACAGGCATGAACCCGGCCTCTTTCTTTGTTTTTAGTGACTAACTTTATTATGAATTATTTTCCTTAATAGAAAATTACAGGTCTTGGTGTGTTTCTCATTTGGCATGTGTGGAACACTTTCCTTTTGTGTTTTCTGCACTGAAAAACTTCTGATAACCTCACCATGAGTTTGATACCCTTTGGAATAAGATGGGGATAGACACTTATGTTTTTGGAAATTTCATTTGAAAATTTAGTTTACATTTATTTTAGGGAAATTTTTTTTGTCAATTTATAATTTCTAGCTAGAGACCTTTGAGATTCTGTAGGAGGAGAGAGGAAAAGAGTAACTCTCTGTGATCTGGCCAATAAAGGCATATCTGATCTCTTAAGTATCAGTTCTTTTCATGGTGGACCCACACGTTCCTATCTCTATGCTTTTAATGAAAACATTTCTGTTGTTTAGTAGACCTTCCTTTCTGCTTCTCTGCTTTTCTTTCAAAGCCCAATTTAGGTTCTGCCTTTACTTCAAATTGTACTCAGCCCTCTGCTTTCAGTCTACACGATCATTCTCATTCCTCCACTTAGATTTGTGTGTGTGTGTGTGGGGGGGGGTGTGTTTGTGTAAATAGCCTTATTCTAGACCATTGGGCTGAAGTCTTTTTATAAATTTTGGGAAGTGATTTTATCTTCTTGATGAGCTGATCCTGAATATCTACTTACATGCAGATTTGTTACTTTTATGCTGTAGTTAAGACATTACGCTGTTTTACTTTTGAACTATATAATTTATGTTTTGCATTTCGTTTTAAAAAAGGCCTTAGAAAAAGATGTTTTCATAGTTTTGAGCCTTGCTATATAAGCTATAAGCTTGGGGCAAGATCTCTTGTGGGATTTTATTTTTTATCATGTTACAGAGGGACCCTTAACATTTGAGATGATAGTGTATGTGTCTTAGAGGCAGTGTCATTCTTGCCTCTTAATCTCTGCAGCTTTCAGGGAAGTTCGGGAATATTCTGGGATGGCTAAAACATTAGTTTAAGACTTTAATTTCACTGAGTAGTGGAAAGATGGGAAGCACAATTGGTATTCTGGTGAACATGAGAAGTTCAGTGGAGTCATGTCTCACTGCTTAATATTTATTTTTTGAGATAGAGTCTGGCTGTGTCTGGCTGGCTGGGGTGCAGTGGTGCGATCTTGGCTCACTGCACCTCCGCTTCCTGGGTTCAAGTAATTCTCGTGCCTCAGCCTCCTGAGTAACAGGCAGTAGCATGCGCCACCATGCCCGCTGATTTTTCTGTTTTTAGCAGAGATGGTTTGGCCATGATGGCCAGGCTGGTCTCAAACTCCTCACCTCAAGTGATCCTCCTGCCTCGGCCTCCCAAAGTGCTGGGATTATAGATATGAGCCACCAAGCCAGGCTGACTGCTTAATATGTAGAATGTGTGTATAGAATACTTTTTCTACTCAGCATCGGTCTTCCTGCCCCTGTCACCTTGTTTTGTTTTATTGGTAACATTAATCTTGATGGTTTTAATGTCCATCAATGATAGACTGGATTAAGAAAATGTGGCACATATACACCATGGAATACTATGCAACCATAAAAAAGGATGAGTTCATGTCCTTTGTAGGGACATGGATGAAGCTGGAAACCATCATTCTCAGCAAACTATTGCAAGGACAAAAAACCAAACACCACATGTTCTCATAGGTGGGAATTGAACAATGAGAACACTAGGACACAGGAAGGGGAACATCACACACCAGGGCCTGTCGTGGGGTGGGAGCAGTGGGGAGGGGTAGCATTAGGAGAGAGATACACCTAATGTAAATGTGACGAGTTAATGGGTGCAGCACACCAACATGGCACATGTATACATATGTAACCTGCACGTTGTGCATATGTACCCTAGAACTTACATATAAAAAACTTGTTGGTTTTATGGTCTCCGAAGTTTAATTAGTTCTTCTATACTCACTGGAGTTTGGCTTTCATCTCGCCTTTCTGCATTTCCAAAATAGGGCCATCTTCATTTTAAAAAATGCTTTCAATTATGGAAGCCTAAGTATTGTTACCCCAATGTGCCTACTTACTATCCAAACCTGAAAAACGTTAGGGTTCACTGTATTCATTTAAAATCCAGTTTGGGAAGATGTAATCACCAGTGTTGACACACTCATGAGCGTTTAGTGATATTAAGATGAGGTTGAATAGGGCCCAGTACTCGAAGAAATCGTCAAAGGAGCATCATCGTGATTAAGACCAGACTCAAGTAGATGTTACCGTGACTCGCATCACTTACTAGCTCTGCCATACTGGACTACTTAGGAAACTTCTTGTGCCTCCGTTTTATAACTAAGTGAAATAAGGAAAGAATTTGAAATCGTGCCCAGCACAAAATTGAGCAGTCAGTAAATTGACATTTTTCGTGTATTTAAAGTTACAGAATGTCAGGTATATTTTTAAAGCGTTATCTAATGCAGTTCAGAAATTTTAAAGACGCTTCAGACTTTCACAAAAGGTGGAGTGACTTGCCCAAGGCCACAAAACGAACTGGCAATAGTTGTACCATACAGGTTTCTTGAATCCCAGATCACTCTTATTTTTGTGAAAAATATGGTGCTATGGCACCATATTCTCATTGCCTGTGGCTTGAGTAACTGAAGACTTTTTCACGCCATATGAAAGATATTTAGCATGCTGCATTGATTCCTTATCGGATTAAATCTTTGCTTTTAAAGAGAATTGATTTTTAGCCCATAGCGGTTCTTGAAAGTAAACACTCCAAGATGAAGCTGCCCTTTCCCATCAAAGGTTAGACACCCTAAATCCAGAAAAATCTTCAACGTTTAGGAGACCTGTTCACAGGTAGCTCTAGGTTCCAGTGAAGTGGCTGCAGCACAGCCTTCAGCATCACTTGCCTCCTCTTCTGCTTGCAAGCTTGGTGGTGGACCTAGCGCGTCTCTGGTTGCTACGGCGATTCCCTGGCAGGCGTCATCCGTCGCTATGGCGCTCTGCACTGCGCAGCATGGCTGCTCCCGATTGGCTGAGGGGCCCCGGGAGGCGGAGGAAGAATTGTCGGCATTGGCCTGGCCAGCGCCGGTTGGTGGCCTGGAGGAGGATTTGATTGGAAAACCAACGGCGCAGCTGGCCGCGGTGTACTCGAGGTTGAGGGGACTGCGAGTAGGCTGGGGGGGAGGACAGGACGGGCTAAGACTGGACGGGACCCCTGGTCTGCAGCAGCAGGTGACAGCAGCAGGGACAATGAGAAGGAGATTGGCCTGAAGGAGGGACCGTCCCTCCGGCGCGGTGAGTAGGCGGGAGCCGCTGCCCGGCTGTGCCGGCGCGCAGCTTGAGTCAGGGTCTCCGGGGAGACGTCCTCAGGTGCCTGTGGAGCGGCCCCGAAGCCTCGGGAGCCAGCTTCACTAGACAAGAGGCAGGGGTAGAGAATGCGGCTGTGGTGGGTAAGTGAGTCACTACGTGAGGCAGTCTTTTCGAAGCAGGTGGGTTTGTGTTGGACGGATGGATGGTGGCAAAGCGCCATCAACGATGCTTCTTGGCGCTTCCATTTTGATAACGGAATTATTCTGGTTAAATGGAGCCTGAATGTGTCTCTTCCAATCTGCTCCGACGCCTCTGGAGGTTCATTCTTCATCTCTGTGAGCGTCGCTTTTCTGCCTTCTCCTTACAGGATGCTGCTTTGACTTTGCCCCTTTGCTTTTCTGCTCCACTTCGGTGAGCCCTTCCACTTCCTCGCCTCAGGCACCACGTATCCGATGATGGTTAGAAAGCCTCCACCTGGAACCTAGCCTGCTCCACTAAGCGTCAGACGCCAAAATCCAGCTGCCAAGTTAATGCCACACATGTGCAACCCTGAACGCCATCTTCCCCACGCCTGCTACTGCTCTTGGATTCCACTCTCCATTCAGTTTTCAAAACCTACACTCTAGACAACATCCATGACACTTACTGCTGCTTCCTCTGCATCTCTATCAATTATCAAGACTATCCCTTCTTAATAGATGTTGAATCAATTCCCACATTACCATCTCTGTTCTTACTGTCTCAATTTCCACCATCTCTTGGTTAAATTCAACATCCATCTGGCTTCTTTGATTCTAGTCTGGCCCTATCTGTCCAATTCACTTTTTTCCCACCATTGTTAAACTGATTTTTTTTTTTCTTTGAGAAGGAGTCTTGCTCTATTGCCAGACTGGAGTGCAGTGGAGCGATCTCAGCTCACTGCAACCTCCGCCTACCGGGTTCAACCAATTCTCATGCCTCAGCCTCCAGAGTAGCTGGGATTACAGGCGCAAGCCACTTCGCCTGGCTAATTTTTGTATTTTTAGTAGAGAAGGGGTTTCACCATGTTGGCCAGGCTGGTCTCGAACTCGTGATCTCAGGTGATCCACCCGCCTCAGCCTCAGAATTACAGGCGTGAGCCATCGCGCCCGGCTAAACTGATCTTTTTACAACGCACATAAGGGCATTTCTCTTCCCTACCTAAAGTCCTGCAATGATTCCCCATTACCCTAATCCAATCTTTAGTTAGGCCTTCTATCAGCAGTTCCATCTTGATTGTTCCCAGAATATGTCACATTTTCTCCTGTGTGTAGTTATCTCACCTGTCGCTCACACTGCCTGGAATGGCCTCTCCTTTTTGCACCCCCACACTCCTGCTCTCACTCCCCAATAATTTTCTGTATGTTGCTTGATTACTGTTTCTTTCTCTAGACTGCCTCTGTGATGGCAGAAGCCATCTTTGTCTCAGTCACTATTGTTATATATATCCAGCATTTAGCCCAGTACAAGACATCATAACAGGTGTTCAACAAATACTTGTTAACTGGTTGAATCTCTAAAATGAGAAGTTACTATTTACCATGGTATCTTTATTTCTTCCAGAAAAGTTAGAAATGACCAATGAAGCTTTTGGTTATAAAAGGTAAATGTTGAATTTACAGGTTTTACTTTAATTTCAAGACCGTCAGTAATTGGAAACTACTTCAATTCACAGTTTATGGTTTAAGCTATAATCGTTATCATGGTAGCTGTTATTATATGACATAAGCTTAAAATGGTAAAGAGAGAGAGAGACAGTATAGCATGGTTTGCAAGAGCTAAGCTTTGGAGTCATACATACATAGGTTTGAATCCTAGCTCTAGCATTTTAGTTGTGTAACACATAACAAATCACTTAGCCTCTAGTCAGATTCTTTATCTGCACAATGGGCATATAATAGCACCTAGCTGATAGGATTGTTTTAAAGATTATATGTACATAATTCATACCAAAGACATAGTGCTTTATATATAGTAAGTTTTCAAGCTTAAAGATGAACACACTGGGCCAGGCACGGTGGCTCATGCCTGTAATTCCAGCACTTTGGGAGGACGAGGTGGGTGGATCACCTGAGGTCAGGAGTTCAAGATCAGCCTGGCCAACATGGTGAAACCCCGTCTCTACAAAAAATACAAAATTAGCTGGGCGTGGTGGCGCAAGCCTATAATCCCCACTACTTGGGAGGCTGAAGCAGGAGAATCCCTTGAACTGGGAGACAGAGGTTGCAGTGAGCCAAGATCATGCCACACTGCTCTACAGCCTGGGCAACAAGAGTGAAACTCTGTCTCAAAAAAAAAAAAAAAAAAAAGACCACCGAAGGCTAGAGTTGTGAAATTGGCATGGTCAGTTCACAAAAGGTAAAAATCAATCTTTTGATTCAGTCAAGTGCAATTTCTAGGACACCATCCTGTTGTTATAGTACTTGATCACAAACTTTTGTGTTTGGCGACAGCCTGATACAGCTCAGAGTCTCAATCATTCAGGGAGTATTTATTGACCATCTAATGGGTTTGGGGCTCCATGCCCAGTGAGGGTGAGCCAAAAGACAGTGCAACCAATAAAGTCTTCAGGAGGTGGAAGAAGGGCCTGGAATGTTACTCTGCCTGTCAGAGCCAGTCAAGCTTTGAGGCTGAAGTCAGAGTGAACTGGGTTGAGCACTTGGATAGGCAGAGAGAAGCTGGAAGTTCATCCAGACAGTCAACAAATATTTGTTGAACACCTGGGCCTTCAGCAGTGAACAAAACAAAGGCACTATTATCTTTGGACAGTTCTCAGGGCACAGTAGAGCAGAGTTCACAGAACACAGATTCTCGAGTCAAACTGCTTGGGTTCTAATCCTAGCTCCCCAAATTCTAGATATGGGATTGGCAAGTTACTTAATCTTTCTGCACCTCAGTTTCCTCATCTGTAAAATGAGGTGGTTGTGAACATTACATGAATTAATATGGAAAAATTTCTTAGAACAATGGTCGTTATGCAGGAACTGCCATGTAAATGTTATTTATTTGTATTATGTTCTATTTGGAACACAATACGAGGAGAGAAATAAGTAAAGCAGGATGAGGGAATAGAAATAATCAGCTTGTGGATAGTGTGTATGACTTGGATTTGGGAATAAGTCTTACAGTTTCAAAGATTTCATCTTCTAGATGAAAGTGAACTTTAAACAAACTCATGTATATGCCTGATATGTATCATGATTTAAGAAACAGGAATGGCCAGGCACAATGGCTCACACCTGTAATCCCAGCACTTTGGGAGGTCAAAGTGGGAGGATCACTTGAGGTCAGGAGTTCGAGACCAGCCTGGCCAACATGGTAAAACCCTGTCTCTACTAAAAATACAAAAATTAGCTGGGTGTGGTGACGTGTGCTGGTAATCCCAGCTACTCTGGAGTCTGAGACAGGAGAATCACTTGAACCTGGAAGGCGGAGGTTGCAGTCAGCCAAGATGGCACCACTGCACTCCAGCCTGGGCACAGAGCGGGACTCCATCTCAAAAAAAACACAAACAAACAAACAAAAACAAAAAAACAGGAATATGCGCACTGGATAAAATATATAGTTTTTCATTTGGTAAAATAATTCCTTATACTTATCTATAGGTCAGACTCCCCTCATCTCAGCTAAAATCTGCCATGGTCATAATGAAAGTCATGGACTTAAGTCCATAGAGTTGGCATCAATTCAAAGCTTATTAAATCTTATATTAGAAATAGTTACGATAGACACAGATTCTAGCTTCAAAGCAGTCAGCAGAATCACAGTGACAAAATGACAACTGACTGGCTCATGTCTACAAAAGATACCTAAGCACTCCTGTAAAAATTAAAGTAAAAACTACAAGCAGGACAGATAAAGCACAGCAGCCATAACACTGACCTTGGGCCATCAGGAAAAAGTTGCACAGTATTTAGTATATTTAGTAAAAGACAGGCAATTGTTAATATGAAAAGTATGAATAAAATAATATTTGTTTATTAAAGAAATAAGTATTTATCTAGAAAATTCACTTAGGTGAATAGAGAGCTGGATAAATGCCACCAATAAATGAGAGTTAGTACTGCATTAGATTAACAGGAAGGGTTCTGCCTGGCTTCAAATCTCTGCTCTGCCACTTACCAGCTGTGGGACCTTGGCAAATGGATGAACCTCATTGGGCCTCATTTCCTTCATGTGTAAATTAGGGACTGTAAGGGTAGCTACCTTATAGATTCATTAGGAGTATTACATTAGGTAATGTATAGAAAGCACTTAGAACAGTGCTAGCACCACCATATAAATGTTTGCTTTTATTATGACTGTTGTTATTACTAGGTATGAGATCTTGGTCAAGTTACTGGACATTTTAGTGCCCCAGTTTCTTCATCTGTAAGTTGGAGATATATTACTACCTCAAAGGGTTATTTTGAGGATTAAATGAATATACTAATGTGCTTGTAAGAATAACCCTTATTAGGTTTTTAAAAATTAAAATGAAAACCATTTATGACATTGAATTTAAACCCTATTTTTAATTTTATCTCTAGTATTTTTCATTAATGAGTCAAAATCAATGAATATAGACGAATGATTTAAAATAAATACACAGCCAGGTGCTGTGGCTCACACCTGTAATTCCAGCACTTTGGGAGGCCGAGGAGGGTGGATCATCTGAGGTCAGGACTTTGAGACCAGCCTGGCCAACATGGTGAAAGCCCATCTCTACTAAAAATACAGAAAAAAAAATAAATAAATAAAAATAAAAATTAGCCAGACATGGTGGTGGGCACCTGCAATTCCAACCACTCGGGAGGCTGAGGCAGGAGAATTGCTTGAACCTGGGAGGCAGAGGTTGCAGTGAGCCGAGATCGTGCCAGTGCACTCCAGCCTGGGTGACGAGTAAAACTCCATCTCAAAAAAAAATAAATAAAGTAAATACACAAGCTCTTCAAATGAAGTAATATTATTACCAGCCTGAGCAACAC